AATTTCTGTATTTAAATTTAATTTGATCAAATCAAATCAAATTAAATCAAATAATATTTGAAAATTTTTAAAATTTTGTTATTTTTTTAAAATTTTCAATTTATATAAAATTTTACTAAATTAGTTAATTTTGTATATTAAATAAAAAATATTCATCTAATCAAAATATCTCTAGTTGAATAAAAAGAAAAAGAGAGGTGTGGTAATATAGTGAAGTAGTCAAGTTGTCACCCCAAGCGGCAGATCAAGAATTCGAATTTCACTAGTAATGAAAATTCAAAAATTCTGCTTGTGTTATGACTAACTGTATTTGACAATTAGTTGGGATAGAATATCTGTAACTATGATTATACTAGCAAGACTAGAAGGTCTGAGATATTTGTGTGATATAAGGTTATACGAAAAAATGCAAACTAATTATAGAGTAGTGCATATACAAGATAAGCTTTCAAGCTGTGTAAATCTAAAGAACTGCAAATATGGAAACCCACTTGACAAGTCCTGAGTAGAAAAGTAGTATAGATCTTTGACAGAACTACTGTAAAGATTAAATTCAAGAAATAAAACTCAGGTAAACTGAACTGAACAGAATACGGGGTGTTAATATTGCACTTACATCAAGTAAGCTGCTGCAAATAGAAAAGAAAACTGAGAATCTAACTAGGGAGCTCCTGCAATTGCAAGCAAGTTGTGGTGATGGTGAAAAATCTACTAGCCACTCTTTGAAGGGTACCTGCTTAGGCATAAAAGAAAAATACACAGTTACCAGACTATCTAGCTTAGAAGTCGAGAACCAGGATTAGGACCCCTGCTATTGATGAATAGGTGAAATCACCAATACCAACTAGACTATTGTCGAATTGGAGAAAATAAGTGATTACATACTAGGCCATCTGGATTGAAAGTCTGGGTAAGAAAAGCTGGGTTACTAAAGTATTGAGAATATATTGTGAAGTAAGTTCTGGGATTTGAGTGAACTCTACAAGGGCAGAAGTAAATCTGGGTAGTAGAGTTCAACCAAACTAAAGTTAAATCTTAGAAAGAAAACAGAAGAAAGTTTAAGTTAAGAAAAAACTATAGGCAAAGACCTCAACTTGATACTACATACACTCCCAGAATAGATAAAACTGAGCTGCAAGTAGTAAGTAGAGTTGTTAATGGGTTAGGTTGGGTTGGTTTGGGTTGATCTAATCTTTAACCCACTCTACTAAATTAGACTTACTCCAATATTTTGCTCCGGATTGCTCCATAATACTCTGGGTTGCTTCAGACTGCTTCAAATTTAAAATCATAATTTTTAACCCACTCCAACTTGGGTTGGGTTCTACCCCAAAATGCTTCAAAGTAATCTACTCCATTAACAACCCTAATAGTAGACTATGGTCCGTGCATACCAAACTAAAACGCAGGCTAGATGTAGTATAAAGTGGGAATACTGTAGATTCTGCCAGGTTTACCTCGAGGATAAAGTAGTCCTAAGTTGGTTATTTGAAATATGTGCCTGTAAGACTGGTTCTAAGAACTAGAGAAAAGATGTCGATTGATGCAGGCCTCGGAGTATATAGGCGCAGAGGGTTTAAATGGGTAACCCCCTAGTTGGGTTGCAGGTACGGCAAATAGTGTAGAACCTAGAAATAGGCAGACTACTTAAATAGGCGCTCAAAAAGCACAGGTATGACTAAATGTACTCTCCAAATATGTACTAGCACAATAAAGCAAAACGTGACCAAGAGGTCACCTTAAAACAAAAAAAAAAAAAAAAGCAAGGTAAAATACTAACAAATTTTCTAAACAAACCAATAAAAAAAATCAAGATAAACAAACTATTAAAAAACTCGAAAAGTCTAATTACTGATGTTAGCCCACAAATATAATTTAATACAATTGTTATTTTTTTTAAAAAAATCAAAATATATTATTGTTAAAAACTTTTAAAAATAACTATAACTCAAATAATTAAATCAATTAATTAATAATTAATTTATTAATAAAATCGCATATATTTGATTCAAATTTTGCTTATTTCTAACATAAATCATATTTTCAAGTTAGGATTATAAAATTTTAAAGGGCTAAACTATTAATCTAAAGAAAACTTGTTTTAATATTTATTTATTTTCGAATAAAAGACCAAATACATTTAAAAGCAATAGGAGTTTTCTTGATAGCTATAGATAATATAAACTATAATAATTAGTATAATTTTGCATAAAACAAATTCATGAAGGAGTTTCAGGCGAACCTAAGATTTCGATCCGTTTTTTGGTCTCCCACGATTACTATTCGGTTTTGTTTTTTTGCTTGTCGCATCTTTCTTATCTTCAAGCTTAAAGAAATATTAATTGTCAGATCAACTATGTAAATAATTGCCTTAAATAGATATTAGCTCCGTAACGAACCTTGCGCTTTGTAGAAACGTTTGCGTTGGAAGGAATTTGCGTAAAAAAACTATCCAGTCTACCCTGAGTCGCAGCCTTTAAATTTTTCGATAGTTTTTCTACGCCTTTCCGCACACGGTCCTCACTTAAACATGAATTCAAATTAACATCATAACAATATTTTAATTCTATATTTACAGAGTTCTATAAACTTACTTGAAGCCTTTTTCACGAACCAAAAAGTTAACAATGCCGTCAACATCTGGGTCCTTCCATTTTATCTAGCGATACAGAAAGTATGCATTTATGGATCAAGAAATCTTGTAGAACGAGTAAATAATAAATCACTACCTCAAGTTCATTAGGATCTAGAACTTCTGGGTTACGAAATAGTTCACGTGCTTCGTCGTACTGCCAGTTTTCTGGTATTGGATATTTTTTGGTATCGAGGTTACTGATGACTCCTTCTAAGGTCTTATGCTTTCTAATAAGTTCTACTGCACGATGCGGCCCAATGCCTTTGATGGATTCGCAATAATCACAACCCAAAAGAATACAAAGATCAATAAACTGGAGAGCAAGAATAGGTAGCAATACAAAAGTTAATTTAATTTGATAACTAAGCAAGAATCAAATTAGTACACGGTCTGAACAATTATATACTTGGTTCATGCTAAACTGAAGTCCTTCTAAAACTTTGTTGAGATGTATTTCGTTAATGGGCATCTTTTTTGCCTCGCTATAAGTCATATGTCGCAATAGGACAGGCGTAGAAAAAGTCAAAGTATCCATATCTTCTGATGCAGCGGCATATACCTAAAGAAAATTGGTAAAGGTCACATTGTGTGATTGCAGCAGAAGCTTGGAGCACCATCACATATATGATATTCACCTTTCCAGCTTTAGCTAAAGCCGCACATTGAGCCTCAGCTTCACATGGAGCCTGCAAGATTAACAATATTAATTAACTTGATATCTGATGGAGATTACTATAATGAAGCGTAATAACTTTAATATCAAATTACCTCCACATAGGGAATACCCATTAAATTTAGAAGCTTTTTGCATTCATCGTTATGTTGCTTAGTAACTTTAACAGTTTGACGACTGTATTTATCAACATTTGCCATATCACCTGAACATAAAGAATAAAAACATTACAAGAAGGAAATTGTATAGTTCAAACTAAAAATTTAGACAATGATGATAAACCAGCTTCTTGTGCCTCTTCAAGCTTCTTATTCGCTTCCATTTTTCGTTCCAAACGTTTAGCAAGCTGTTTAATGCAGAAAGCACATTACCAACTAAAGCAAGCATAAACATGAAAAGTAAAGTTTTTTTTCTCACTTACTTCACCAGATTTTAGAGTAGGTGGTTTACCATCAAAGACGTAACATGGTTTTATGCCGTTTTCCACCATGCGAATAGTCCGATAAAATATGCCCATTAAGTGACTAAAAATTACGGCATAAAACGTTTCCAAAGCAAGCTCGCATATTACTATATTCAAATATAAATTTTCAAAGCGCATTATTTATACCTCGTCGTCTCTCCTGACTCGGTTGTTAATTGCTGCCCATCTTGTCTTACAGCGATCAAGAATTGATATATAGACATAGAGGCATCGATTGCTACTTTACGTCCAAAATAATTCTTGATCTCGTTTGTTTTGAGGGCGTTTGAACAGTGATCACCAATTACTTTAGTTAAACTTTGAATACCCATCAAGTAGACCTTCACGAAGTATGAATATAAGAAATGCAGAAAAAGAATAAAATGTAAACCTCAGAACGTTTGCTGAAGACGCGCTTTTAATGTTGTACGAATTAAATTGTGAATATTCCGCGGAAATTCAAGCGCGTGATTATAAAACATCTTACACAGTCGCGTCATACAAAACCGTAATTATTTTGCTGCCACTTTGTCTCACACGTTGCGATCCGGTAACAGAGGCTATTTTAATCGGATGTTTAGAAGTTATTGAAGCGAAAGATACTCTATCAGGAATTATTTTATTGTTAATCTTGCAGGCTCCATGTGAAGCTGAGGCTCAATGTGCGGCTTTAGCTAAAGCTGGAAAGGTGAATATC